GATCCTTAATCATTTTAGTCACCCTCCTCTTTTTTCTGCCTAAGTGGAGTATCTTGCATTTGTCCCTGTTGAACTTCATTTTGTTAGTTTTGGCCAATCATCTCTCTAATCTGCCAAGATTGTTTTGAGTTCTGCTCCTATCTTCTGGAGTATTGGCTATCCCCATTTGGTGTCATCTGCAAACTTGATGATCCTTCCTTCTAACACTTCCTCTAAGTCATTAATAAAGATCCTGAGCAGGACTGGGCTCAGGATGGAACCCTGCTGATGGTGCTCAACTTGTCACTTCTTTCCAGGATGAAGAGGAAGCATTGGGGAGAATCACCCTCTGGGTTGGTTCGCTTAACCAATTAGAGATCCACCTAACCGTAGTTTTGCCTAGCCCACATTGGACTAGATTGTTTGCCAGAAGGTCATGGGGGACTTTCTCGAAGGAAGGCCTTTCTGAAATCCAGATGCTCTACATCCACATCCACCAATTCTAAAGTGTGAACATATCCTATGATCATGTTTTGTGCAGTTTTCTCCATCCAAGATGAAAATCACATGGAACGTCTAAGGCTTAGTTCCCAACCTTTGCTCCTTCAGGTATTTGTGACTTCAATTCCCAGCAGCCCCAACCAGCTTGACTGAAAGTCAGGAATTCTGGGAGCTGAACTCCAAAACCTATGGAAGAGCAAAGGTTGGGAAACACTGCTCTAAAGAGATATAATTTCCCCTTTAAGAGTTCAGCCAGAGTTTGCACGTGGGATCAGCCTCAGCTTGGCTCCTTGATCTGCAGGTTTTGCCCTCCCTCTGTAGATAATAAGCCAGGCCTTAAGATGGGTCCACACCTCACATGCACCATTCCTAGCACAGGCTCAGATAGCAGCCTTATCAGATGGGCAGTGAATCTTGGCAAGCAAGGTTGCACTAGGTGGGGAGAAAGGAGCACTTCTTTCTATCAGGGCGGCCTTTGGAACCAAGAGTTACACCCAGGATGCGATTGCTGTCATTAACCCCAGAACTAGACAGAATTGGCCCCCCATATCCTGCTTGTTTTCTATGGATGGTCATAGAATCACAGAGTTGGAAAAGATCATAAGAAACATCCAGTCTGCCAACTAGGAACACACAATTTCCTTGACAAGTGCACATCCAGCCTCTAATTAAAAACCTCTACAAATGGAGACTCCACCAGACTCTCGGGAAGCAGCATATTTCACTGTCAATCAACGATTTCCATTAAGAAGTCCTTCCTAATGTTACTCCAAATTTGGAGAGAGACTGAGCATTTGAATAGTTGAGGATATGAGTGACCTGCTCTGTGTGTGTGTGTTTGGGGGGGGGGAATAAAGTATTATAAGAATAAGCAGGAGTGCCACAAGACACTACAACAAAGCGCTGTCATTAAAGGAAAAAACAGGTGACTGGTGGCAAAAGGTTTTGGATTTTTGGCTATGGGATACCTAATCTGAACAACAGTTTCCCTGTCAGTATGAACAAAAATGTGCTGAAGTGAAAAACAATTCTTGTGGGACTATAAGACAGACATTAGAAGAAGAATTTCTGAGAAATACAATCCAAAAGATAACGTTTTCACACTGTGTTACTGAGTTAGATGCAACAGTGGTCTCACTTGGTGAAAGGAAGCTTTCTATGTTCTCCTCAAACAAGGTCAGAAAATCCTGACCTCACTACTTCTGAGGATGCTTGCCATAGATGCAGGCGAAATGTCAGGAGAAAAATTGCCTCCAGAACATGGCCATATAGCCCAGAAAAACCTACAACAACCCAGTGATCCCGGCCATAAAAGCCTTCGACAATACAAGGTCAGAAAATGTTGAACCATCAGATGTTTTGGACTCTCAACTCCCAGAGTTTCTAGAAGCAATTAGGGTATGTTTTGTGGGTGACTCAAGGTGTGGGAAGAAGTCAGATGTATCTTGCTAGTTGGGTAAGACATATTTTGTGGCAACACAATTGGGATTTCAGAACAAAGTGGCTGAAGAGGCTGGAGATAAGCAAGCAGGGGATTTCCTCCCCATCAATTAGGAACCTGCTGGAGAAAACTCCTTTGTCACGAGTTCAGCCATTGGCCCACCTGGCCCTGTCTTATCAAGTCTGCTTTACAGCCTCTCCCCATTTGCAGCATCTGGAAATTGAGCCCCAAACATGAGCAAATTGTCATTTTGGAAAAGCACAGATGGACAGGAGGAATTGATGGCCATCTAAGCACTCCATGCATGCCATCCACCATGCTGGGACTCTCTCACACCACAGAATTAAAGCACTATTATTCTGCTTTAACTGCTATGTCTGCATTTTGTAGAATCCTGAGATCTGAAGTTTGAGGTCTCTGGCTAATAATTCTAAATGCTCTATACTGCAAATCCCAAGATTTCATATACTGGAACCATGACAAAACAAATGAAATCATAGTGCTGGAAATAAATGAAAGGATGAGACAAATTTACATCAGGGTTTACTTTAAGACATTCTGGACAAAGCATATACGGAGCAACATATTCTGGCATCTAACAATTGCAGGAAATAATATATTAACACCTTGATCTCAGTAGCAGCTAGAAACTCACAATTTACAGTAGTAATAATAATCATAATAATAATAATAACAACAGCACTTTATTTATATTCTGCCCTATCTCCCCAAGGGGACTCAGGACATATCATAGTACACATACACAGCAAAAATTCAGTACCATTTTGGATAGACAGGACAGAGACAGACAGAACAGAAAGGAGACTAGGATGTGGGGAAAATGGTTTCAAACTACAAGAAAGGAGATTCCATCTGAACATGAGGAAGAACTTCCTGACTGTGAGAGCTGTTCAGCAGTGGATCTCTCTGCCCCGGAGTGTGGTGGAGGCTCCTTCTTTGGAAGCTTTTAAACAGAGGCTGGATGGCCATCGGTCAGGGGTGCTTTGAATGCAATATTCCTGCTTCTTGGCAGGGGGTTGGACTGGATGGCCCATGAGGTCTCTTCCAACTCTTTGGATTCTATGATTCTATGAATGTTGTGTCAATGTCCAGCTGTTTTGGCACCTTGGAGGTTGTGCTCGAATTCAGCCACAGGTGGGTGCTGTCGCTCAATCCTCTATGATGAAGAGCCATCAGGATTTCCCCCTTCCGTTTGGCCACCGGGAATTTTCTGATCTTTTTCTTTATGGTATCATAAAATACCTCCCTGCTTGTTTTAGCGGTAACTAATTTCTATAATTACAGCTCAAGTTGTTTTTGAACTGTTTAGGTAATCAGTGAGCTGGGCTGACAGTCGGGAGTTCACACTGACTCAGGGCTTCGAATTGGCAACGTTTCGGTTGGTAGATCTTATCAGTGCTGGTGATTTACCAGCTGTGCTAAAGCCTGGCCAGAAGGATGGATCATTATCACTAGATCAGGAAAACAAATTCTGTGGCAGCGGTTAGGATTTCTGGGAGTTGAAGGCCAAAACATCTGAGAACCTACAGGCTGAGGACCACTGCCCTAAGGGGAATAAATCCTGGAAAACTGAAAAAGGCTGATGAAAGAAAAACTGCTAAACTGCTGAATTGCTGAGGTGACCAGACTCTTGGTGGAAAACAACATGTTTACATTACCAAAGACTGAGGGTCCTTCCACACAGTCATATAAACCAGAATATCAAGCCAGATAATCCACAATATCTGCTTTGAACTGGGTTATCTGAGTCCACACTGCCATATTATCCAGTTCAGTGTGCATTTTATACAGCTGTGAGGAAGGGGCCAGTCAAACAAGGCTCCTTGAAGGAAAAGCAATTATCAGTTAAGAAGGAAAAATAACATCTGTCAGTCATTTACAACTTTCAGAACAACATCAACATAAAATGCGACATAAAAAAGACCCCTTTCTCTCAGAAAAAGTGTGTCAGACCTGCAGAAAACCATTCTGAACACCATTCTGAACAACCGCCTCTTCTCAAGGAAGCAGATCAACTTAATCAAGAAGGATGGTAAGAACGCTTGATGAATGATGAATGAATGTTAGAGTATACGCGTAAATGCTTTTTTCATGTCAGGAGTGACTTGAGGAACTGTAAAAAGAGACCTCAGATATTGATGAATAGTTCCAGAAAGTGAGAGAAATTAAGCACATGGACAAATTAACATTTTGGTTAAATTAAAATTCAGGAACCTGATTAAATACACAAATTGGTCCAAGATAGAGGAATATGAAAAAATGAAAACTTAATTGATATATTAAAAGATTTTAGTGTGTAAAGGAGATACAAGGAGAGATGGTTTATATTATCGAATCGATACTAAAATGCACCCTTAATGGAAAATAGTTAAAGATGAAGATGAAGCCGCAAAGGACTAGATGGAAGTCAACAGATATCTTTTTTTTCTCTTTTTTTTCTTTGCTGTTTGTCAAATTTTTCGATATAATTTTTTTGTATTATTTATTTATTTATTTATTTATTTATTTATTTATTGTGTCGGTATCAACCAGACAATTGTATTACATTTTAAACAATTTTTTAACAAACAGACAATTTTTTTGGTGTTATTACTATTATTATTACATTATTATTATTATTATTATTATTATTATTATTATTAATAATAATAATAATAATAATAATAATAATAGGATTTTTTTCTCTTCCTTTCTCTTTTTTGCCAATTTTTCTATAACATTATTGTTCCCCCACTTTACTTGTATAGGAAAATATATATATATCCCTCTACTCCCCCTCCTTTTCTACCCTTAATAAAATAGAATTTTAAAAAAGAAACTGCAAGTCACTTTTAATGTGAGAGAATTGGCCGTCTGCAAGGACGTTGCCCAGGGGATGCTCAGATGTGTGATGTTTTACCATCCTTGTGGGAAGCTTCTCTCATGTCCCCGCACGGGAAGCTGGAGCTGACAGAGGGTGCTCAACTTGCTCTCCCTGGTTTTGAACTGCTGACCAGCAGAGAGCATTCCTGCCAGCACAAGGGTTAAACCCATTGCAACCACGGGGGCGAATGCTGAGTAAAATGTAATGTCCCCTTTGTCTATGTGATCAATATAGTTACTACAAAACGCAGCACTGGAGTCTGTTTACTTCTTTCTCTGAAAGTGCCTAATGAATATACTTATGACACGGAACATTCCTACTGAGATTCCAGAGGTATTTCGCAACAGATTGGTTATAGAAGCAATTGCTTGCGTCGTGAGCAGAAAAACTCCAATGTTCTTCCAGCTTGTCTAACACGCACATTTCCATTTATTCCATTTATTGTGCACAGTTGTCTGATGGCACATTCAAAATATTACAGTCTGCTGAAAGCTGTCTTTGCTCCATCGTTTCCCAGTCCTGCTTTCACAGCTGGACCTCAATGTCCAGGCTGTCTTTATTGCATTCGTTCGTCTGACAGGGTTCTGGCTTTGGCTGAGGTCGGTTGTGGAAGTCAACAAAGATGTTGTAGATGAAGATTCCAAGCAGGCTCCCCAACGTTGGGGCCACAATGGGGACCCACCACCAGCAATTTCCAGCTCTGAAAGAAAGCGGAATACATAAAGGATTGTTAGGGCATGTAAGAAATCAGGTAGTGTGTGTGTGTCAACTGTAAAATAAGAAGCACGAAGCTGATTGGTTGGGTTACACTCAGGGAGCTAGCTGAGCCTGGGAGTTTTGGATACTGTTACATTCTTCACAGTTGAGCTGTGCAAGTGCTCAGAAGCATAGAGAGAGAGAGAGTTTGGAGTGCGCTCTTGCTTCATGACCTGCTGGAAGGAGTCTCTCCACATGGACAAAGAAAGACCATTTTAAATCAATCTCTCTCTCTCTCTCTCTCTCTCTCTCTTTTTTACAAAAAATCTCTCTAAAAGGACATTATGTGAGTTAATGTGACTGATCACATGATTGTACATATGTTGGTCTGAATTACGAAGACTAAACTACTTGTCCTTTATTGAAAATCTGTGTAGCATGTTTTCTTTCAGTGTGTGGACTGATCAAATGTGAACTATGCGTGATTTTACATTACGCCACAAGGATGACACATTGAGGAGGGGGCAAGGTTTAGTTTTCTGCTGCTCTGGAGATTGGGACACAATGGAGCAACGGATTCATTTTGCAGGACATGAGATTCCACCTAACCATTAGGAAGAACCTCCTGATTGTATAGAGGTGTTAAGACACAAACATATAGAATATAGATAGATAGACACACACACAGATGGAGAGAAAGGGAGAGGGAAGGAGCATTTATATTGTGGAATGAATGCAGTTTGACACCACTTGAATTGACATAGCTCAATGCTTTGAAAACCTGGGATTTGTAGTTTGGGAAAATTTATTTATTTGCTTATTTACATTATTTATATTCTGCCCTTCTCACCCCGCAGGAGACTCAGGGCAGGTTACAATGCACATATACATAGCAAACATTCAGCGCCATTTAGACGTACAACATATATAGACAGACACAGAGGGAATTTAACATTCCAGCTTTCCGGCTTCATGAGGGTATGTTCAATTTCCAGCCACAGGGGAGCTGCTGCTTCACCATTCACTAGTGATACCAAGTCCTTGATGAAGTACTTCCTCATTCTTGCACACACTGCTGAAGGTTTTATATTGTTGTAAATTAGTAAATTAGCCTCCTCGCATAAAGCGGTGCCTAAATTTCCTACTTGATAGATACAACTGTCTTTTGTACTGCATAGGTCAACAGCAAGCTAGACTATTAATGGTCGGGAGCTCACTCTGACCCGGGTAGGCTTCAAACTCATGACCTCTCAGTCAGTAGTGATTTAATACAACTTGGTACTAACTAGCTGCGCCACAGCCCGGTCCAATAGCATTCCTTGGCAGAAAAGGCTATAGACCATGACAAACTTCAGCTCCAATGATTCCACAGCATTGAGCTATGGCAGTTCAGATGGTACAGTGTAGAAGCACCCAGAATGTATGTGTGTATGGCAACACAACTCCTATCTATCCAAGCTAGTAGGGTCAATAAAGGGGTTATGAGAGTTGCAGTCCAAAAAGAATAATATCTGGGAGGCACCAGTTGCCCATCCTGGCAACCATGGTGTTGGGGTTCAGCCTGCGTGTGAACCTGAACTGGATTCTCTGATTGTATTTCCTGATGCTACTGAAAATGTATTTTTCCCTGATGGTAATGAAAGTGTTGATACTGAGGTCAGTGGCTTGGAAAGTGAAACTACACATTCTGATGAGAATTCTGCAGAGCCAAGCGGTGATAGCTCTCCAGAGGAGTTAGCACCTGGCTTCCTTAATGAGGATAGAAAAGGACAGATTTGGAAAAACAGGAGTGAATCGCAGAGTCTGCGAAGGTCAAGCAGATTAAGGGAAAAGGAAACACAGGCTTCAAAGCCTGGAGGCGTGTCACGAAACAGTTTCTTCAGTTTAAGTGCCTCTCGCTGGGTTGTCTCGTTAGATCAGGCATCGTTTAGACTGAGGCATTACCTTGGCAGATTTCCCTGTTTCCCGTGGCCTACATCCCAAGAGGCTTCTAGTGCTCCAAGTACGGTTAGTGATTTGCTAACAGGTTCCAGGTTTTTACAGTGTTGCTTTTGGAATTTTGATCTAATTCATGGATATTCCTGACTGCTGAATTTTACTGTGGCTTTTTGACTTTGCATTTTCCTCTATTTTGTAACCATTTTGCATCAATAAAAAGGGATTGTTTTTCCCACAGTCAAGTGTGGTGGATTGTTATCTTATGGTCTCGTTTCATGCTCTGTATTGCAACACATGGAGGCAAACTCACAGGAAGACATCCCGACCCCATCCAGCAATGGCAGTGAAAATCCTTGGTGGCAAATCCCGGGAAGGGTTGATGGCGTAGCCGGTGTTCATGCCCATGGACATGCCAATCGCCACAACGAGAAGCCCCGTGATAAATGCGCCTGTGCCCTGAAGGGCGGCCGCATTCTTTGTGTCATTGATGGAGAGGACTCCAATGAGAAGAATACTGGTGGCAATGACCTGGAGGGAATGGGTTGGGGGGAGAGGAGGGGACACAGAGAAGACAGTCAACATGCAGAAAAGCCTTCTCAAATCAAGAAATCCCATGCCAGTCAGTGCACAACGCTCACTGCAATTCCTTCACCATATCCTAGATGATCTGAGGACGTTTACAAGTTGTCTACATTTTCATTCTGGTTCTGGGATGGCAACTTCAGTTAGTCCTTTCTTGAATCCCAAACAGCCATAGACCTTACTGCAGAACCAACCCCAACAATATTCAAAACAGGAAAAGCCACTTTTAGTTTGGTTGCAGCGGAGTGAATCTGGAGGTTGCAAAGAGCTTTAGAGTTTGCAGAAGTATTGCTCCTGGAGCTTCGAGGAAATATCCTTGTTTCCCCGAGATGGAAGAGTGGAGTTCATGGCCTTAAAAGCACAGGCAGCCTATGGGTCACACTTTGCTCATCCCTGTTCTGGATTACTTAGATGTCTGAACCTCCATGCATAGAAAGCTAATATAAGAAGCAAAGAGGTTTCTCCTGAGATGCTAGTTCTCTTTCTGCAGGTATTGGACACCTTGATGTGGAAATAAGCTTCCCATATCACCACCTACGGGACAGTCCACATTTGTGAGCCTTATGCTTCCAATCTTACTCTGACTCCCCCATACACCCATTTCCTTTCTCTACTCTATTCCAGAGAACAGCAACCCCCCACATCCTGGCTACTGGTGCTGAAATTGGACATCAAGATTGAAAAAAACCCTGTGTTTTCAAACATCCCACTCCCCAAAAGACATTTCTATGGCCCCAAAATGGCACACCACAATCTGGCTCAAGCCAAGATGCATTCCAATGCAACAAAGTTGCATGGATCTCAACCCACACTGACCTCACTATGGAGATCGGCTTGGAATAGTTCCTTTTCCCAGACTACAATGTCCAGAATCACACAGGAAGTGGCAACTGATGGTGTCCATGGCACGGGACAATCCAAAGGATAAAAGAATTGGCCCCAATGCGGATTCAGCACCTTGGGGAGCTCTCTCAAAGTTGACCTTCGCTCTAGCACAGTGTTTCTCAACCTTCCTAATGCCGTGACCCCTTAATACAGTTCCTCATATTGTGGTGACCCCCAACCATAACATTATTTTCATTGCTACTTCATAACTGTCATTTTGCTACTGTTATGAATCATAATGTAAATATCTGATATGTAGGATGTATTTTCACTCACTGGACCAAATTTGGCACAAATACCTGAAACGCCCAAATCTGAATACTGGTGGGGTTTGGGAGTTGTAGTTGTTGGGATTTATAGTTCACCTACAATCAAAGAGCATTCTGAACTCCACCACATGGAATTGAACCAAACTTGGCACACAGAACTCCCATGACCAACAGAAAATACTGGAAGGGTTTGGTGGGCATTGACCTTGAGTTTTGGAGTTGTAGTTCACCTACATCCAGAGAGCACTATGGACTCAAACAATGATGGATCTGGACCAAACTTGGCACGAATAATCAGTATGCCCAAATGTGAACACTGGTGGAGTTTGGGAAAATAGACCTTGACATTTGGGAGTTGTAGTTGCTGGGATTTATAGTTCACCTACAATCAAAGAGCATTCTGAACCCCACCAATGATAGAATTGGGCCAAACTTCCCACACAGAATGACTAACAGAAAATCATGTTTCTCTGGTCTTTGGAGACCCCTCTGACACCCCTCCATGATCTCCACAAGGGTCCTGACCCCCAGGATGAGAAACGTTGTAGCAGCTGGCAGAGTCCCCCAAAAGTAAAATGATGCAGCTCATATCTTACGATGCACATGGTCACCACAACTGGGCACATAATGAGCAGATAAGAGTTTTCCCCTCATGGGAATTATGCCCATCTCAAATGATATTTTCCTTAAGTCCCCAAATTTCTAGTCTTGCAGTAAGTGGGGCATCGAAAGTCATTAGCACTGAGGAATATTTTATTGCTATCTCTTTGGTCACTTTGCCTGACCCCTTTTCTTTCCTAAACTGGATTTCCAAATGAGCAAGTTTTAAACTATTGCAATACCAGAAATTTGGGGTCTGAAGAAAAATATCAGGGGAGTAAAACTCTTATTTTGGGTGTCCATCCCCCCAACACTTGGGTATCCCCAAACATCAGTATTTCCTGCTGTTTCAAGTGATATAGACCTGAGTGAACCTGAGATGCTAAATATTTGGCAAGGTCATAAATCAGAGTGAATCCAGGCTGAAAGGAATTGACCAAAGAATAGAGCCTAGCCTTGGTCATGTTCTGCCCCCCTCCCAGCATCCCACTATTGAAGTTTCACGGATTAGTTTCAAGCACTCACCTCATTAAAAAACCCACCCCACATAGACATGTATGGAGCCGGGTAGGTGGAAAAGATCCCTGCGGTGGCAGTAGGTCCCGTGACGGTCAGGATTCCTCCCGTATACTCCTGGAGAGCATCTAGGATGGAAGGAGAAGCAACCGAGATAAGCACTTGAACAAGGATGGTGAAAAGGTGACTGAGGATATCGAAGGGCAATAAAAAAGATCAAAGGTTGGGAAGCCAAGTTGTATGAGAAGTCAGGTTGAACTATTTGAAAGGATGTCCTATTGAGGAGTGGGCAAGCTTGTTTTCTGCTGCTCTAAAGACCAGGATACACAACAATGGGTTCAAATGGCAGGAAAAAGGGATTCCTCCTAAATTTGTAAGAAGGACCTCCTGAGGTTCAGAGCTGTTCAATGGTGGAATATCCTCCCTCAGAACATAGTGGAGTCTCCTTCTCTGGAGGACCATCTGGAGGACCATCTGTTGAAGGTGTGTTGATTGGGTATTCCTGCCCAGCAGAAGGGGGCTGGACTGGATGGCCCTTGGGGGTCCCTTCTAACACTTAAGGATTGGTGCCAATCATGCTTACAAGGGAAGAGAATCCAAACTTGGGGTGCCACTGGAGAGAAGGCCCTGCACCTCCCATTTTGGCATCTGTGTTTTTGTAGATCAAAGTGTTATATAATAATAATAATCATCATCATCATCATCATCATCATCATCATCATCATCATCATAACACTTTATTTATACCCTGCTACCATCTCCCCAAGGGACTCGGGGAGGACAATCTGGTCAGCCCTCCTGTTTAAGGAGCTCCACTGGCTGCCTTTTATTTTCCGGACCCAATTCAAGGTGCAGGTTCTCATCTACAAAGCCTTGAACGGTTTGGGACCCGCCTACCTTCGTGACCGCATCTCTGTATATGAACCCACACGATCTCTTCGATCATCAGGAAAGGCCCTGCTCATGCTCCCACCTGTATCGCGAGCGTGATTGGTGGGGATGAGAGAGAGGGCCTTTTCGGTGGTGGCCCCTCAACTCTGGAACTCTCTTCCTAAGGACATCAGACATGCCACAACTTTGGCAGTCTTTAGGAGGAGCTTGAAGACGTGGTTGTTCCAGTGTGCCTTCCCAGAATAATGTTCCCATAGCACTTTATCCTTCAAAGCACTTGATATTGTTTTAAGTCTGCTTGTATGTTTCCACAAACCGCCCAATCACTCTTTTCGCCCATGTCCAGCATTATTTTTTAATTTTAATTACACTTGGCCTAACCATAGATTTTAAAGTGTGTTGTCTTATTTGATAATGTTTATGCTATTGTTTTACTGTTTTGTTGTTTAAATTGCTTGTATTGTTATTGTTATTGCTGTATTGTTGTATTTTGGGCTCGGCCTCATGTAAGCCGCACCGAGTCCCTTGGGGAGATGGTAGCGGAGTACAAAAAAAGTATTATTATTATTATTATTATTATTATTATTATTATTATTATATAACACTTTGATTCTACGAAAACACAGATGTCACAATGGGAGGTGCGGGGCCTTCTCTCCAGTGGCACCCCAAGTTTGGATTCTCTTCCCTTGTAAGCATGATTGGCACCAAGTCTGATGTTTGAAGTCTTTGGAGTCTTGTCGGATTTATCCAAATCTGCACGTGTGGAATTATTTCAGTGACTTTAAAACTATTTTAACATGTTGAATTGTTTAACGTTTTTAGTCTGTTTCGATTGTTCTTACTGGTTTTAATGGTTTGACTTCATTTTATTCTACACCATCCTGTAATTCTTAGTTATCAGAAAAGAAATAAATATTAGTGGTTCAAGTATTTTGCTATGACTCTGGAAACCAGGGTTTGACTCCTGCTCAGCCATGGAATAATAATTTTTTTTTGTCGTGTCAGGAGCGACTTGAGAAACTGCAAGTCGCTTCTGGTGTGAGAGAATTGGCCGTCTGCAAGGACGTTGCCCAGGGGACGCCCAGATTTTTTTTATGTTTTTACCATCCTTGTGGGAGGCTTCTCTCATGAAATAATAATAATAATAATAATAATAATAATAATAATAATAATAATAATGGAACACTGAAGAAAGAGACAGAAGGCCTGATTCTTGCAGCCCAAGAGCAAGCCATCAGAATAAATGCAATTAAGGACAGGATCAAAAAATCAGTTGATGACCCAAAACACAGACTGTGCAAGGAAGCTGATGAAACCATGGATCATCTCCTCAACTGCTGCAAGAAAATCGCACAGACGGACTACAAACAGAGGCACAACTCTGTGGCCCAAATGATTCATTGGAACTTATGTCACAAGGACCACCTGCCACCTGCCAGAAGGCGGATCTGGCCAGGGTGGTCCATGCCTTAGTCACCTCCAGATTGGATTACTGTAATGCACTCTACGTGGGGCTGCCCTTGGAAATGGCCTGGAAATTTCAATTGGTCCAGCAGGCGGTGGCCAGGTTGTTAACTGGTGCTCCTTACAGGGAGAGATCAACCCTCCTGTTTAAGGAGCTCCATTGGCTGCCATTCATTTTCCGGTCCCAATTCAAGGTGCAGGTTCTTACCTACAAAGCCCTAAATGGTTTGGGACCCGCCTACCTTCGTGACCGCATCTCCATATATGAACCCACACGATCTCTTCGATCATCTGGAGAGGCCCTGCTCGCGATCCCACCTGCATCGCAAGCGCGATTGGTGGGGACGAGGGACAGGGCCTTCTCGGTGGTGGCCCCTCGACTCTGGAACTCACTCCCCAAGGACATCAGGCATGCCCCATTGCTAGCAGTCTTTAGAAGGAGCTTGAAAACGTGGATGTTCCAGTGTGCCTTCCCAGAATAAGGAAATCCAAGCAATGTGTCCCAAATGCAACTTTACTAGAGATCTAGAATTGCCTACACGCCCCACCTATCCCTAAAATATCTATCCTATTTCACCTGATCATGCCCAACATTTTAAAAGATTTTCAGTACTACATTTGGCCCTGCCACAGGTTTTAATGAGCTACTGAGTTATTGTTTATGTTGTTTGCTTTGTTTATGAGTTTTTTTTATTATTGTACTATTGTTGTTGTGTTTTACTGATGTATTTGGGCTCGGCCTCTTGTAGGCCGCACCGAGTCCTTCGGGAGATGGTAGAATCATAGAATCAAAGAGTTGGAAGAGCCTCATGGGCCATCCAGTCCAACCCCCTGCCAAGAAGCAGGAATATTGCATTCAAATCACTCCTGACAGATGGCCATCCAGCCTCTGTTTAAAAGCTGCCAAAGAAGGAGCCTCCACCACACTCTAGGGCAGAGAGTTCCACTGCTGAACGGCTCTCACAGTCAGGAAGTTCTTCCTCATGTTCAGATGGAATCTCCTTTCTTGTAGTTTGAAGCCATTGTTCCGTGTCCTAGTCTCCAGGGAAGCAGAAAACAAGCTTGCTGCCTCCTCCCTGTGGCTTCCTCTCACATATTTATACATGGCTATCATATCTCCTCTCAGCCTTCTCTTCTTCAGGCTAAACATGCCCAGCTCCTTAAGCCGCTCCTCATAGGGCTTGTTCTCCACCTTGATCATATTAGTCGCCCTCCTCTGGACACATTCCAGCTTGAATTGTGGTGCGGGGTATAAATAAAGGTTTATTATTATTATTAAAGAACTTGTGTCTCATTGCAGGGCTGAATAGAATACCTTTCCACATCCTTCGTAACCATTACCCGGACTTTCCTCAAGCTTATGAACACCAAATAGCTTAAAGCATAGTATTTCCACTTTGCATTTCTCAGGTTTTGCAGGACAAGCAGGTAAGGAAGCTACATACCGTAGTACAGAGCAAAAACTGTACAGGCAGCCAAAAAGGAGCCCAGAAACTGTCCAATCACGTACGCCGGAAACTTGTACCAGGAGAGATTTCCTATGAGGCAGTTTGCAAAGGTGATGGAGGCATTCATGTGAGCTCCTGTTCCAACGAAAACAAGGGTAATGGAAGCATTAATGCCACGAGTCACTACCACCACCATCAACAGCAACAATATTATTATTCCTATCATCATGAATTTTGACCAAGGGTCTTTTTACAAAAAGGTAATAAAACCACAACAGCGGAGAGTTCCATAGTGTAAATCTCAACTATGTTGCTCAGTGTCAACAGTGATTGAACAAGGTTAAAAAAGGTCAAGATTTCCCCTGACATTAAGTCTAGTTGTGTCTGACTCTGGGGGGTTGATGCTCATCTCAATTTCTAAGCCAAAGAGCCAGCATTGCCCATAGACACGTCCAAGGACATGTGGCCAGCATAACTGCATGGAGTGCTGTTACCTTCTTGCCTATTGATCTACTCCAGACAAGGCAGAGGTACTCCTGGTCAGTCGCAAGGTCGAACAGGGCATAGGGTTACAGCCTGTGTTGGACGGGATCACACTCCCCCTGAAGGTGCAGGTTCGCAGCTTGGGAGTGATCCTGGACTCATCGCTGAGCCTGGAACCCCAGGTTTCAGCGGTGGCCGGGAGAGCTTTTGCACAATTAAAACTTGTGCGCCAGCTGCGCCCGTACCTTGGGAAGTCTGACTTGGCCACGGTAGTCCACGCTCTAGTCACATCCCGTATAGACTACTGCAATGCTCTCTACGTGGGATTGCCTCTGAAGACTGCTCGGAAGCTTCAAATGGTCCAACGATCGGCAGCCAGGATGCTAACAGGAGCGGCACTCAGGGAGCATACAACTCCTCTGTTGCGCCAGCTCCACTGGCTGCCAATTTGCTACCGGGCACAATTCAAAGTGCTGGCTTTAACCTTTAAAGCCCTAAACAGTTCTGGCTCGACCTACCTGTCCTAACGCGTCTCCTCCTATGAACCAGTTAGGACATTAAGATCGTCTGGGGAGGCCCTGCTCTCGATCCCGCCGGCTTCACAAGCACACCTGGCGGGGACGAGAGACAGGGCCTTCTCAGTGGTGCTCGGCTGTGGAACGCCCTTCCTGCAGACATCAGATCGTCCCCCTCCTTACTGACATTCCGGAGAAAAGTGAAGACCTGGCTGTTTGAACAGGCATTTGACTAAGCAGTGCAAATGATTGATTAGCGGAACATGGAATAATGGATAACGAGACTGGATTCTGATTCTAGTGATGAGATCTGATGGATTTGTTATATTGATGTATTGATATATTGTTGTATTGATGTTTACTGTTTAATTAACTTGTTGTGTGCTTGCTTTTAAATACCTAATAATCTTGTATTCTGTATACTGAAACCGTTGCTGTTAACTGCTCTGAGTCGCCTAAGGGCTGAGAAGAGCAGTATACAAATAAAGTAAGTAAGTAAATAAATAAATACTCACATGCGCATGTTTTCTAACTGCTAGGTTGGCAGAAGCTGGGGCTAACAGTGGGAGCTCACCCTGCTCCCTGGATTTGAACCACCAACCTTTTGGTCAGCAAGTTCAGTAGCACAGCAGTTTAACTCATTGCGCCACTGGGCCCCTCAATTGAACAAGGGTATGTGCAATAGGCAAGTGCAATAACAATAGACAGATGAACTTTATCTCAAACTTCCTTTCTGTGTCCATCGATCATCACCATCATCATCATCATCATCATCAACAACAACAACGACAACAACATAGTTAAAATAAACACATTAAAATATATTGTCTAGTTGTGTCTGGCTCTGGGGGGTATTGCTCATCTCAATTTCTAAGCCAAAGAGCCAGCATTTCCCATAGAAACATCCAAGGACATGTGGCCAGCATAACTGCATGGAGTGCTGTTACCTTCTCGCCAAGGCGGTGCCTATTGATCTACTCACACGTGCATGTTTTCTAACTGCTAAACAATAACATAAAACAAAATAAAATAGCATCCTTATAACAAAACTAGCCATCCCCTGCCACATGTTGCTGTGGCCCAGTCTAGTGATCTGGAAAATAAAGTAATGTGAAAGTGTTGGTTTCTAATAGATGTCATTTCTTTATCCTTGTGGGTAAATAGTATTTCTTGTTGTTTCTTTGTCAGTGTTGATGTAGAGATTGTCTGGTTTGCCTATTCTGGAACAAGCAACATTCCTTCTTTAGGGGTCCCTTTCAAATCTATGGTACTATATCTGTCTTGGAAAGACAGGCGGACAAACGTCAGCGTGCTGGAAGAAGCAAAGACCACCAGCATTGAAGCGATGGTCCTCTGCCATCAACTCCACTGGACCGGCCACGTTGTCCAGATGCCCGGCCACCATCTCCCAAAGCAGTTGCTCTACTCTGAACTTAAGAACGGCAAATGGAATCACTAGGTTCTTGTAGGTTTTTTCGGGCTATAGGGCCATGTTCTAGAGGCATTTCTCCTGACGTTTCACCTGCATCTATGGCAAGCATCCTCAGAGGTAGTGAGGTCCAGTGGAGCTGATATAGCAGAGGAGTTATGACGCTCCGGTGATTAATCTGGCTGCCGCCCGTTGGACTAGTTGAAGTTTCCGAACAGTCTTCAAAGGCAACCCCATGTAGAGTGCGTTGCAGTAATCTATTCGGGATGTAACAAGAGCGTGGACCACTGTGGCCACACGACCTCTGAGATCACACGACCTCACTACCTCTGAGGATGCTTGCCATAGATGCAGGCAAAACGTCAGGAGAAATGCCTCTAGAACATGGCCCTATAGCCCGAAAAAACCTACAAGAACCTAGTGATTCCAGCCATGAAAGCCTTCGACAATACGGCAAATGGAATATTGGTGGACAGGAAAAGAGATTTAAAGATGGGCTCAAAGCCAACCTTAAAAACTCTGGCATAGACACTGAGAACTGGGAAGCCCTGGCCCTTGAGCGCTCCAGCTGGAGGTCAGCTGTGACCAGCAGTGCTGCAGAATTTGAAGAGGCACGAATGGAGGGCGAAAGGGAGAAACGTGCCAAGAGGAAGGCGTGTCAAGCCAACCCTGACCGAGACCGCCTTCCACTGGAAACCAATGTCCTCACTGTGGGAGAAGATGCAGAGCAAGAATAGGGCTCCACAGCCACATACAGACCCACAAGAACACTGGAAGACAATCATCGGAAAACGAGGGATCGCCTAAGTAAGTAACTATATCTGTCATATAAATATATGTGTGTGTGTGTGAATCATATCTATCTATCTATATCTTTGGCTGGATGGCTTTTTGTCAGGAGGGCTTTGATTATGTTTTAATGCCCCAGTGAAGGGAGTTGGACTGGGTGGTCTTAAGGCACCATTTCTCAACCTGGGGGTCAGGACTCACCTGAGATTCCACCTGCGGCGTGGACACCCAGCATGACGCCGAATCCAAATGCCAGATTGATGCTCAAATACTGCCCATACTCCTTCCGTCCCAACACCACCTGGGCAACGCAGGCATTGCCAACCGTCTGTTGGGAAGAACAGAGAGAGAGGACTGTCAGACCATCTGCCTTCTTGGAAGATGGACAATCTCTATCGTCTCCTTTGATCAGCTGAAATCTGCTCAAGAAATGAGAATATTAATTTATACAGTGGGGCCAGGGAGGGTCACCCTTCCAAACCCAAAAGTCAAAGGTTTCATCCTTGTCATCTCCAGTTGAAGGAGATCTAAGAGGGTTGGGAACTATCCCTGCCTGAGATATTGGAGAGCAAAGGACTGCTAACCGTAATGGGTGGTTTCTGACTTCATGGCATCATTAGGACTGAACTGCATGATATGAACTGGTAACTTTGCTGAATAGGTTGCCCAATGGCCTATCAAGGAATACATCTATATCAGGTATGGGCAAACTTCGCCCCTCCCTCCAGGTGCTTTGGATGTCAACTTCCACAATTCCTAAAAGTTGGTAGGCTGTTGGGAACTGTGGGAGTTGAAGTCCAAAACATTTGGAGGGAGGGATGAAGTTTACCCATGCCTAAACAATACACACATTTGCATGAATGAAGAGTGGAAAAACCTTGGAGTGGCCATAGTAATGTGGCTGGAAATAGTATACAGTTGGCCCTGAATATTTGTCAGTTTTACTTTGGCAGTTTTGATTACTTGTGGATTTCACTACAGTATTCTCTTTAGGAATCTGTAGCTCCTCCAGTGTAGCTCTGTGGTCAAGTTCATTCCCGAGAGTGACAGTTGAGTTATACCGAAGGACTTGTTTAACTGTCTCCCTTGTCAAACATAATAACTCCTTACTGTTATAATAGCAATGAGTGCTCCATTTGCAATATAACGGAGACATCTGGCAGGTGCCATCACATGGTAAAGTACCAGCCTTTTCCTGCTTCTATGTGAATAGAGAGATCGGAACTCCAAAAATGCCTGTTTCTAGGCACTTTAGAACCAGAGTCCCACAGACAAGCCCTGAAAGTGGTCTTTTGTCAAGTGATGGCCTCCGTGAGACTTTGTTTTTAAAGTGTCTTGAAACTAAGGGTGTCCAAAATTCCACTGGTTGATTCAAGATTTTGGATAATTTTGGACTGGAAAGGACACCTTTGGAGCCTTGCTGGACAGAAAAACGGACTGTCCAATATTTCGGCAGAAAATTTGAGAAAGATTCAGACTTACTTTTCACATTAGTAGCCTGACGGTTTGTTTGTTTTGCAAGCAGAAGCAACAATCTTTCCATGGTGAGGGCAACGGGGCTGAGCAATGAATGCAGTCACACCTGCTGCATCATATTTCTCAGCCAATCATAGGCTTGCTTCTGTCCATTCTCCCCACACACACCCCACCCCTTTTTGGCATGAATTATTTTGGATTTCAAATCCCAGAAATCCCTCTTGTGGTTTTGTTTTGGGTTTTTAAAAATGTAATTGGTAAAAACTTTTAAAAGTTTCCCAAAATCAGTGGATTGGCGAAATGTTCCAAAACTGAGACCGCACAACCTCTGAGGATGCTTGTCATAGAAGCAGGTGAAACGTCAAGAGAGAATGCTTCTAGAACATGGCCATATAGCCTGAAAAACCTACAAGAACCCAGTGATTCCAGCCATGAAAGCCTTCGATCATGTGTGGCATTAACACTGGTACTATGTATTGTTTTATTGGCCGGAATCACTGGGTTGTTGTCACTAGGTTGTTGTAGATTTTTTTGGGCTATATGGCCATGTTCTGGAGGCATTCTCTCCTGACGTTTTGTCTCTCCAGACCTCACTACCTCTGAGGATGCTTGCCATAGATACAGGTGAAACGTCAGGAGAGAATGCCTCTAGAACAGTGGTTCTCAACCTGGGGTCCCCAGATGTTTTTGGCCTACAACTCACAGAAATCCCGGCCAGTTTACCAGCTGTTAGGATTTCTGGGAATTGTAGGCCAAAAACATCTGGGGACCCCAGGTTGAGAACCACTGTTCTAAAACATAGTCATATAGCCCAAAAAAACCTACAACAACCCACTGGTACTATGACACAAGACAATTCAGAGGGACAGCAAACTATTCTGCCTTTGTAAACAGTGCTACTTTGTTCCCTCCTCTCCTTCCTATGTACTATTTTCTCCCTCTCCTGGGTCAAAGGGGACTCTCAGCAAATGACACCCTTCCTTTGGGTCCAGATGCCACTCTTTCCAACCCCAAGAAAGAGGAGCACAGCCATCCCAAGTTGGCCATCCCTCCACCCAAAGCCTCAAAACTCCTCTCCAACTCTTGGCACCTTGAGCCAAAGTCTCCTCCTCCTCCTCCTCCTCACCATCAGAAGGTAGGTTGCCAGGGCCTCTGCCAGACCTTGCCGGACTGTCTCATTCCGGATCGTCACCAAGCCGATGACCTTTTCCAACATCTTTAACCCAGATGTTGAGGAAACTCAGCTCCTGCTGAGAAGGAAGACGTCACTGTAGTGGAGCACTTCTTTACTGGGACTGGTGCCACCATCCTTTTAACCCCATCTTGGTTGGGTTGTTGTGAAGATCTGGTTATGACAGTGTGAGGATCACGCTGTTCCTCCTCCCTTTCTTACCTCTCTCTTCCTCTCTGCAAACTCTGCCCTGTGAACCCTTTGGAGCAATATTCATGCTCCAAAGCTTACGAAATTCTCTCCACTGTGAAAGAAAACAGACCCGCCTTAAAGAAAGCCTGGAAAATGAAATCTATTGTTTGGGAAAGAAAAGAAAAGGGAAGCAAAGACAGTAAGTGTTGAACGCTGTCTCTTCCTTGAAAGCAGCAGCATATTTTGATGAGATCAAGCAGTGAACACCACAACACTTTCCCCGGTTTTTTCTGACATAACATGTGTGTTTAATGTTTTGCAAATGTGCAATGCTTCTGACAGATGCAATAGTGCCAGCGTGGTAGAGTAGCTTGAGCATTGGACTATGGCTTTGGAGACCAGGGTTCGATTCAACTCTCGGTCATAAAAACTCACTGGCAAGCAACAGACTCTTCGTACCAGAAAATACTGTGACGGGTTTATGTATTTACTTCGTTACCATCCTGCCTTTCTCCTATATAAGGTGTCAAGGCAGCTAACAATAAATAATGCAAATTAAAACAATGGTCAATGACTTAAACTATAAATATAATAATAAAAAATACAATATTTTGCAACATTAAAACAATTAAAATGCATTAACACCCCGTTCATAGAATCATAGAGTTGGAAGAGACCTCATACGCCATTCAGTCCAACCCTATTCTGCGAAGAAACAGGAAAATCACATTCAAAGCACCCCTGACAGAGGGTCATCCAGCCTTTGTTTAAAAGCTTCCAAAGAAGGAGCCTCCACCACACTCTGGGGAACAGCTCTCTCTCACCGTTAGGAAGTTCTTCCCAATGTTCAGGTGGAATCCTTTCTTGTAGTTTGAAGCCATTGTTTCATTGTGTCCTTGTCTCCAGGGCAGCAGAAAACACGCCTGATCCCTCCTCCCTATGACTTCCTCTCATGTATTTATACATGGCCATCATGTCTCCTCTCAGCCTTCTCTTCTCAAGGCTAAGCATGTCCAGCTATTTCAGCTGCTCCTCATAGGACTTGTTCTCTAGACCCTTGATCCAGCTTGCCAACACTTCCCTTCAATTGTGGTGCCCGGAATTTGACACGGTGTGATTCCAGGTGTGGTCTGACCAAGGCGGAATAGAATAATAGAATCATAGAATCAAAGAGTTGGAAGAGACCTCATGAGTCATCCAATCCAACCCCCTGCCAAGAAGCAGGAATATTGCATTCAAATCACACCTGACAGATGGCCATCCAGAATAGAGGGGTAGCATGACTTCCACACCCCAAGACTTTGCCTTAATCTCACTATAACTCAGAAATGGATTGAAGGCACGTCACCAATGCTTTGGAAGATGTAATAATGTATCATGTGATGCGGTGGCAAAAAAGCCAATGGAATTTTGGCCTGCATCAATAGGAGTATAGTGTCTGGATTCAGGGAAGTCATGCTCCCCATGCTGTATTCTGCCTTGGTTAGACCACACCTGGAATATTGTGTCCAATTCTGGCCATCACAGTTGAAGGGAGATATGGCCAAGCTGGAATGTGTCCAGAGGAGGGCGACTAAAATGATCAAGGGTCTGGAGAATAAACCCTATGAGGAGCAGCTTATAGAGCTGGGCATATTTAGCCTGAAGAAGAGAAGGCTGAGAGGAGACATGATGAGGGCCATGTATAAATATGTGAGAGGAAGTCATAGGGAGGAAGGAGCAAGTTTGTTTTCTGCTTCCCTGGAGACTAGTGCGTGGAGCAATGGTTTCAAACTACAAGAAAGGAGATTCCACCTAAACATGAGGAAGAACTTCCTAACTGAAAGGAGAACTATTTAGCAGTGGAACTCTCTGCCTTGGAGTGTGGTAGAGGCCCCTTCTTTGGAAGCTTTGAAACAGAGGCTGGATGACTATCTGTCGGGGGTGCTTTGAATGCGATTTTCCTGCTTCTTGGCAGAATGGCTTTGGACTGGATGGCCCATGGGGTCTCATCCAATTCTATGATTCTATAGACAATGACATTAATGTAATAATGGATTAACATCCTGGTGACTGTTCTAAATATAATCCCTGTTAAAATAATTTTATCAATAAGGATGTTAGTTAGGATCCTAAGTGGTCAAGCATAACATAGGTGTCACATATGTGGAACTTTGCTATGGCTCCCCTGTCTCTAGTTCCAAGACTCACTATGGCCCTATCTACACTGACCATTTAATGCAGTTCAAAACCTGGTTTGAACTGAAACAACCAGACAACAAACTCCTACCAAAAATGCAAAAAATTATGTATATCCTTTATGTGCATCAGTGCTCTGGAGTTAGTGAAGTCATCATTTGGGCTTCACACTGGTTCCAGAATTTCCTATCTATTCATCGACACAGCACGGCCACTTTCTGCAATACTGGTTTGAAACTGCATTAAATGGTCAGTGTAGGTGGGTCCTGTGATTGTCGTCGATATCTGTTCCGTTGCTGGTGGCAAAGACTGGATAAGTATAGCCAGGCATGCAAACCAGTGACATCTTCCAGCAATCTAGTGGTATTCACTGGAAGTCTTAGCAGATACTAAAGGATCATTATAGAAGGAAGAGGAACCTTGTCTTTTGCCATTGGATGCAAAATGTCAAGAGAAACTCTGACAACATGACAAACAGGTTTGTGCCCACCATTTCCCTGGTGATTGCATTATTAGAGAAGGGAGGAAGCAATATCTCCCAGCAAATTGTAGTCACAGATAATGACTACCTCAGAGTACTATTGCTATTATTATTATTACTAATAGAGCAATTAGAAAGTATATGATTATATAGAGTGAGTGACAGTGAGTAACGGTGTGAGTATATAGTATGAACCAGTGTGGTGTATTGGACTGAGCGTTAGCGTATGACTCTGGAGAATGCTTGGCCATGACAACCCACTGGATGACCTTGGGCAAGTCACACTTTCTCAGCCTCAGAGGAGCAAAGGCAAAAGCCTCTCTGAACTAAACTTGCCAAGAAAACCAAGTGATGGGTTCACTTTAGGATTATTATTATCTATATAAATAAAATGTAATGTTCATTTGTGGGATTAACATAACTCAAAAACTACTGGACAAAGTGACATGAAATTTGGACACGATACCCCTAACTGGCCAATGAGTGACCATCACTCATAAACCTCCCCAAAAACAGCAGAAATGACTTAAAAACACTAAAAATCTAAATGACAAAAAGCTAAATCACGATACAGAAAAAAATGGGAAGGAGGAGGGAGGGAGGGAAGGGGAGAAAGAAAGAAAGAAAGAAAGAAAGAAAGAAAGAAAGAAAGAAAGAAAGAAAGAAAAAGGGAGTGAAAGAAGGAAAGAGCAAAGGAAAGAAGGAAAGAGGTAGAGAAGGAAGAAAGGAGAGAAAGCGGAAGGAAAAGGAAAAGAGAAAGAAGAAAAGAGGTAGAGAAGGAAGGAAGGAAAGAAGAAAAGGGAAGGAAAGGAGCGAAGGAAGAAGGGAAAGAAGGACAGAAAGAGGGAGGGAAGGTTGCTCACATCAACTCGTAGCAGCTAGTTGTTGTTTTTGTTGTTGTTGTTGTTGTTGTTATTATTATTATTATTATTATTATTATTATTATTACCATAATTTGGAAATGACAGTTTGGAGGAGGATGACTATGGATGATGGAACTTGCATATAGGAGTTGTAGTTCACCCGCACCCACTGAACACAGCTGGCATTGGATCTAGACTACACTTGGAGCACAGACAAATGATGCCTTTCTCAAATAATCCAGGCACCGCCGGGTACCCAAGCTAGTTTTAAATAATTTTGAGTATAAAACAAATCCAGTGTTCTTTCATAGGAAGAGAGGTGTAAGAGAGGCAGCTCATTCAAACAACAGAAGCAATGATTGCACTGTCAGGATTTGGAAATTACCTGGCATTTTCTAAGTGATTGCAGAGTTAATGCCTCTGACCTCACCACCTGTAAAAGAGTTAAGCTACTGCAATTATGGTGGGATGGTTAATGCAATGGGAGTTGCATATGTGTTGTAGTAATGCTGAGTATGTTTGATGAGGGTTGAATGGTGTTTTGGAGAGTGTGTTGGAGAACAAGCCTATGTTCAATGCATGTCCAAAAGAAAGAAGAAATGAACTTGACCAGGTCTCCCCAGAAAAGTGTTTCATGGTTCTTGATGCTTCCATTCAAATGACCTGTGTGTCAGCCAACTGAACATTGCCTAAAAGTAGACAACAATATCTCAACTGAACACCAAAGATTTGAAATGGACTGAAAGCACACAGCACAACGTTGAAATGCCATAACAATTCATTTAGTGGGTCATTGTGAATTTTCCGGGCTGTATGGCCATGTTCCAGTAGCATTCTCTCCTGATGTTTCACCTGCATCTATGGCAGGCATCCTTAGAGGTTGTGAGGTCCTCTGTGAGACCTCACCACCTTTGAGGATGCCTGCTATAGATGCAGGTGAAACATCAGGAGAGAATGCTGCTGGAACATGGCCATACAACCTGGAAAACTCATAACACCCCACTAAATGAATTGTTATGGCATTTCAGTGTTGTTGTTGCTATGTGCTTTCAGTCCATTTCTGGCCTATGGTAAGTCCCATCACAGGTTTTTCTTGACCAGACTTGTTCAGAAGAGATTTGCCATTGTCTTCATCTGAGGCTGAGAGGGTGTGACTAGCAAATCTTGGTCATGCAGTGGGTCTTGTGGCTGAGGAGGGGTTTAAGCCCTGATCTCCAGAGATGTGGACCAATGCTGGAGCCACTGCACCAGGTTGGCATAGTTGGTAGTTATGAACATGAGGATAAAAAGAATGAACAAACAGAAACTTATGAAAAGTACCCTGACATTTCAACAGAAAGAAGGAAACCATGAAAATGAACTAAATTTGGTTGCCACTATTAAAAAACCACCAGAATCAAGACAGTAAATAAAGAATACCACTCAGAAACATGGGAACTCCACACAGCAAACAGCCAAGGGCTTGTCGAAGGCTTTCATGGCCGGAATCACTGGGTTGTTGTAGGTTTTTCTGGGTTATATGGCCATGTTCTAGAGGCATTTTCTCCTGACGTTTCGCCTGCATCTATGGCAAGCATCCTCAGAGGTAGTCACTACCTCTGAGGATGCTTGCCATAGATGCAGGCGAAACGTCAGGAGAAAATGCCTCTAGAACATGGCCATATAACCCAGAAAAACCTACAACAACCCAGCCAAGGGCTTGTTAACACCTCCTAAGCAGAGGATGCACCCA